CTGATGTCTCTTCTCCCCGACTTGGTAGACATGCTGCAAGTGCTTCACCTTCTGGGTCTCCCACCGTATTTTGTTTTCGTTGACCTTCGAGTGAATTACATTAATTACCCGAGGTCCGCCTGCCTACGGCTGCTATGCTGGGGGAGGTGGAGCTACTGGTGGTTGAGGCAATCTTGCCCGTTCTTCCATTGTCCTAGCCTCATCTACAATGTCCCTCAAATGGCCTTGCCTTACCAGGTCTTCTAGGTGTGACTTCAGGGCTCTACAACCCTAAGTCAGATACCCATTTTCATTATGGTAAGCACAATGCTTACCAAGGCTCCTTTCCATAAACTCTCCTGGTACCCTAGCTGGTGCTCTGAAATAAGGTTGGGTTCGGATTTTATCCAGGACTTTGTGAATTGGGATTCGGAACACAGTTGTCACTGCCTGTGCAGCCCTCAATTCTGTCTCTTGTTTATTGGATCCATTGTTACCTTGGCCTCGCTTTGGCGAGCCGTTTCCTTTCTCTTGCTTTGTCTCTTTGGCTCCAGATGTGTCTTCCTCGGCTCTAGCATATTTCTCGATTCTGGCCATGAGCTCTTCCATACTTTTTGGCAATGTCTTTGCCAAGGACTTTCGTAGTGGACAGTCATCTTTTACGCCGTTCTTGAAAGACACGACCGTCACCTCCTGATTACATTCGGGTATTCGGTTGAACACCTCATAGTATCTTTTTGCATAGGCCCTAAGGCCCTCATCCTTACTGATCTTCAGAGCCATCAATGCGTCCACCCTTAATGGCTGTAGCTTGTTTGTCACGAACCTGGCCACAAATATCTCGACCAGGCCTTCCCAGGTCTTCACACTTCCCTTTGATAGTTTGTGAAACAAATCTGATGCAATCTCCCCGAAGGACGAGGGGAACACTTTGCAGAGCAACGGCTCGTTCCCATTATACAATGCCATTGAGTTCAAGTATAATCCAACGTGGAAGTTGGGGTCAGACTTACCATCGTATACTTGGAACCTCGGCATACTGAATCTCTTCGGCGCCTCAAATCTGTCCAACTCCACTGAGAACGGTGTTCTCGACTTATCAGGGGAGTTTACCTCGGCATTGGGATTTTGTTACTTCCTCTTGAGGTAATCTCTTAAGTCCTCCTTTGTCCGCCCTGGAGCTCGACTGTCTCCTGATTTCAATCTCTTTGGTGCATTACTTTCAGCTTTGTGGTGAGTCTTCTTCGATCTTTCTCCATTAATTGTGTCGAAGCACAGCGCCTGTCCCTGAACATGCCGATGTCCTTTGGGGTCTGCCTCCTTTGTGCGATGCATCCTCCGTGATTCTTCCCTTCTTGACTCTCCTTGTCCGACCTCCCTGGAAGGTCGATGAGAGTGTCTTTCGCTCCTGGTGTGCTGAGGGGCTATAGGGATTGTTTTCTGCCCTCCCTTCTGAGCATTGGCCGCTGGAATCGACGTGTCCTGCTGCGAGAACGCTGGCTACATGACATTGTTTTGCATCATGAAGTTGACGACCGATTGTAGGTCCCTTAACTTGTTTGCCATCTCTTTCACTTCTTCATCCCTCTGTAGGCATCTATCCTTCCATACTTGGAGATCGCCTTCATTGTAGTACCTGCTTCGATCTGATTTCTTTGGTACGTCGCCAGTCTGGCCGACGTCTTTCACTCCGTGATTCTGGTCACGAGTTTCTGCGTTGCAGTTGTCTCCTTCGACGTCAAGGTCGATAGGCCTGCCACTCCCAGCAGGAGTGTCGTCCCTAATCTTTTCCTTCTGTCCATCGTTGGCCATCTATTCTCCTTTCTTTCCCACAGACGGCGCCAAATTGTGTGAGTGATTTTCTGACCACACTGCCAACTCAGTATTCAGTTGGAGAGTACCGGCAGAATAGATGACACCTGGCTGACCTGAAACAGAAAGAAGAGACTCCGGCGGTGGTTCGTCCACCCGGGGGTACTCCGACGATCAAGTCAATAACCAAATATCTCTCAAAGATAATCAATGGTGCTAAACCCACTGTTCTGAATATAAATTGCATACCTTAGACCCATCGGGGGTGCCTCTCTTTTATAGCTAACTCAATCCTTGTCCCAACAGAAGCCTTGCTTCAGTGGACTCTAGCTCAGTGCTTATCCCGGACTCTACAGTCGATAAAGATAAACTCCCTAAGAGTTTTATCCTTATCTTTACTGAAAGTTTTCCTCATTCTAGGACTCTTGTGCCTTATCCGCTTATCTCGGATTCCGATATCTTCGGAGATAACCTTGGCCTTGCCGAGATCACCTCGGCGTTATGACCAGGACTCTTGTGCCTTATCCGCTTATCTCGGATTCCGATATCTTCAGAGATAACCTTGGCCTTGCCGAGATCACCTCGGCGTTATGACCAGGACATGTGGTACCTTGGCTGACACGTCAGCGTCACCTTAGCCATGTGTTGGTACTCAAAAAATATATCCCCACAGAACATTTTTTATTATTAATTAGGATTTTTTCTCAATACTTTCTTATCTTTTTTTTTTTTTTTCTTTTTCCTTCA